TCATTGATTGACCTGCATTTCATCTGGTCTTCAGTATCCTTTCTTGTCAATACATATTTACTGCTCGTTGGATATCTTCAAAGCGCTTGAAATAGAGGCACACGGTCCCTTTTACTTTCATTACAAATTATCAGGTCGGCGGGTATTTCATGAAACAAGGAGAAATTTCGAATTAAAAGGTCTTGCTACCAAAATGACCCAATTATCCTTACATTTAACCAGAAACAAATCCTAAGAACATGATGGTAATGGACTGTTTTTTCAGTCCCATTTGTTTATGAGTACAACCTTGCTGATAGAATTTCTTTTGATCTTCTGATTTTTCGACTTGTGTTGTCGTTTTCGACTGACAGTCGCTATGTCTTTGGACAGAGCTGTTGGTATTGTAAACAATTTTCTGATGTGCAGCTATTAGTGAGTATAAATTGGATATCATGTTCGCATGTTTCTTTTCTTCGTGCGCCATAACTTACAAGCTTTAACACGGGACAGAAACTAGAGTCTTGAAGAGTATTGGGAGATTAGAGGTGTCGGACTGGAATGTTTAATTACCTTTTGTGAATTACAACGTGCACCAATAAACCCATCGTGTTATCAAACTGAGGCCTGTAACATTTGTTTTACGGCAATAATTCTTTAATCGATGAGGGTTTTGGGAATAGTTCAGTTGAAGTGCACCTCAAAGCCTCCTTGGCTTGACACTTGATTTCGTAGGATCTGTCTGCACCATGCACATGTTTTGTGTCACGTACGCCATGTGGCAGTTAACGTGAACCAGGTGAATTGTAGACACATGCTTCTTTTATTCATAACCATAGTTTAAAACTACAGTTTATTATCATAATAGTGGCTGAGATTTTGTATGGTATTTAAAATGCACCGGAGAGACGGGTCTGCGTCGTTCGTAGTGTGGACACACGAAGCACTGGAAACGCTGCTTTGACCAAACTCGTATTCAATGAACATTGTGTTATTCTGTGCAGTCGTTTCTCAAGGGGAAATGGACTACCACTGGTATCATTCCTGATATTTGATGAATAATTACAATGCTTTGTTCTTTCCATAGGGTTGTGGGTTCCAATAAACCCTTTCATTGTACCGTCACAGGGGTGATAAATAAAGCAAATGTCACCGAAGCACGAGACCGGTATTATTGAGATTGTTTCAACATATAATATTCTCAAACAACGATGCACATATGTTATCAATGATAAAGTCCAGCATTTCAGATGAGTCGTCGTTATGGTGTATCGTACATTGGAATAAATACAACGAATACATTGACTCCTTTTACCAGGTAAGGTTTCTGTCAATGAATCTGTTTTAAGGAAACATTGGTCAGAATAATCCTCAAACATTGTGTTGATATTCTTAATAAAAGTTCATTGACACCAGTTCACATGGAGCCCAGGTACTTGTTTCCGGTCTTACACATTCTATTAGGAGGAGATAAACATGTCCTCTGTGGAATAGGGGTTTTGAAAGAAGCTGCGGCTGAGTGGGTTAGATCGCTGACTTAGTGTGCTGGCGATTAGGGGCCTGATTTTCGAGTCCCGGATTTGATTTTTCTGAGAAAGTTTTATAGCAAATACATGTAGAGCAAATGCTACATTTCAACTCTTTTTAAAAGGTATTGTGTATTAATCTTGATTTATCAATATGTATGCCCTTCTTGTGGATGTAATGAAGTCAGCCTACTGCTACTCTCATTAAAACCAACTAACTTACAAAAAATCATTACCCCAGAATGATCAGCTGGATTGTAAACGTCCCGTGGAGGTCCGGGTTAGAATGAACCTTCAGTAACCCATGCTTGTCGTAAGAGGCGACTAACGGGATCGGGTGGTCAGGCTCACTGACTCGGTTGAGACATGACATCACTTCCCAATTGCGCAGATAGATGTTCATGCTGTTGATCACTGGATTGTCCAGATCCGATTATTTACAGACCTCCGCCATATAGCTGGAATATTGCTCAGTACGGCGTTAAACTCAACTCACTCACTCACTGTATAGTAAACACTGCATTGGAGACATATTTGACACAATCATTTTTAGTGAGTGAGTGGTGAATGAATGTTTTAGTTTAGTTTTACGCCGCACTCAGCAATATTCCAGCTCGTATATGGCGGCCGTCTGTGTGGACCATACAATGCAGTGATCAGCAAGGAGCATCGATCTACGCAATTGATATACGATGACATGTGTCAACCAAGTCAGCGAACCTGACCACCCGATCCCGTTAGTCACCTCTGGCAATATTTTGAAATATTAGACTTTATTACACCCCCGCTACGAAGTAACGGTGGTATATAGCGTTCATTCCGTGTGTCCGTCCGTCCGTCCCGAAACTTTGTCCGGAGCATATCTCTTAAAGTTTACATGCTAGGTTCAACAAACTTCACACACATGTTAATCATTACCCATTGATGTGCCTTTTGCTATTTTAATTTTTTCTTCAGAATTTTGTTTTATTGCTGTTTCGATGGAAACATGACTTAGTGCCAAATGTGTTTGATGGTTTTGTCCGGAGCATATCACTTAAAGTTTAGATGCTAGGTTCAACAAACTTCACACACATGTTCATCATTACCCATTGATGTGCCTTTTGCTATTTTAATTTATTTTCAGAATTTTGGGTTTTTGCTGTTTCCATGGAAACATGACTTAGTGCCAAATGTGTTTGATGGTTTTGTCCGGAGCATATCTCTTAAAGTTTACATGCTAGGTTCAACAAACTTCATATACATGTTAATCATTACCCATTGATGTGCCTTTTGCTATTTTAATTTATTTTCAGAATTTTGGGTTTTTGCTGTTTCCATGGAAACATGACTTAGTGCCAAATGTGTTTGATGGTTTTGTCCGGAGCATATCTCTTAAAGTTTAGATGCTAGGTTCACCAAACTTCACACACATGGTAATCATTACCCATTGATGTGCCTTTTGCTATTTTTAAATGTTATATCAGAATTAGGTTTGTTGTTGTTTCCATGGAAACATGACTAAGTGCAAAATGTGCTTGATGGTTACCTGGCCACAGCATATCATCGAAACTATACATGCTCCGTTCACCAAACTTAATACACAAGTTAATCATGACCCACATATATGCCATGTGCTAAAAAAAGACAATCTTCATCTACGTCCACTTCATTGTGTGCAACAAGTTCAATTGTATGTCAGGTTTCCACGGAAAACACAAAAAATAATGTTTCCATAAATTAATACTGTAATCAGTGCATGGCAAAACTATTATTTAACATGTATATAAAGTTTAGTAGATTCAAGGAGAAAGTCTTGTGAGCTCCTGATCCTTGTCACATTATATATATCAATATCAGTCATTTCCATGTCCCAAAATTGGAAGCGGGGGTATGTGATCTGTGCTCACTTCTACACTTGTTATACATGTATATATAATGACAACCATTCCCGCTGAAAAAGACTGACTGACTGACTGAGTTTGGTTTTACGCCGCTTTTAGCAAATATTCCAGCAACATCACGGCAGGGGAACACCAGAAATGGGCTTCACACATTGTACCCATGTGGGGATTCGAACCCGGGCCTTCGGCGTGACGAGCCAACGCTTTAACCATTAGGCTACCCCTCCGCCCCCGCTGAAAAAGAACATCCTCAATAAATATCAGGTTAACAATTATTGAAATGCTCCTTACATAATTTTTTTTTAAAAACACAACCCCAAGATGATTCGGCTGCTTCCCAGCTGTTAATTGATACAGCGTGTACCAATTCTTCAGAGCAGCTATAAGCGAGAGTATGTGCTTGATAAACATGAAGCAGATCTCAAGATCGAGAATGTTTGTATAATGGCAGCGAACCACAGGTATGTATGGCAAGACTTCTTCAACTTTAATATAATATATATATATGTGTTTCATTGTTTTTTATGTATATTTGTTTACTCATGTCATGTATATGACTCATGGGAATAAACTTTGACTTGACTTGACTCAACTGACTAATGACATCTTCACGCCTCATTTAATCATGACAGCTGTAACATGCAGTTCATTAATGTTATCTATTGCTGATAAGTTCTGCAAGAAATTAGCAAGGAAGTGTGCTGGAGCAGACACGGATAAAGTTGATAGTGGATGTTATCCCTTCATACTTTTATTGCAAATATAATTATGGGCAAAAGTATATATCACAGTTTTTATGGATATGTTATCAATGTATACTCTCCGGGTAACTAATGGTATATTTACATGTATGGAGGATAGGAAACGGTGGGATTATGTCGAATCGTCCATGACATCATTTAGAAATGTGTTCTTGTCAGCAAACACAAACAAGCAATAGAAATATTTCATAATGATATTATCTAATCATACAATAATACCAATACGTCATATTTGACCCTGATATGTGAACCTGTATCCACCCTAACCATATAGCATCTGAAAACACTTCACATTTCATTTACCATGAAATTTTATATATACGTCAGGCCATGTCGGTTATAGAGGGATTACTTGCAGTTAAATAGGAACCCCAATACCCTTCACAACCACTATAGGAATCTCTGCCAAAACGTATCTTGTCAAAACTTGGTTATTCCATCTTTTAATGATACCAGGTCCTTGATACCTATTGAACAGACAACATGTTACCCAAAAAACAGCTCAGGGGCTATACCACTCGTGTCAATTTAAGAGATCCTTTGTATCACCATGGAACAATATCTGAGTATACGCTTTTGTTTTGGAATAGATAGTATGGTTAATTTGATAACAAAGTGCATCTAGACTGGAAGGATTAATATCATGATCATGGTTGTAAATGTAAAGTTAGTTAGATATGGAGTTCACATTATTATACGTAGATGTAATATATTAGAATATTCCTTCACCGTCTTGATACTACCTCATTTACATGGATGATGTATAAACCAATCATCAGTTGTGAGCTTGTGGTCACGTGAGAGTACCACGTGACGATCTCCCAATGTGGCTATGACTCACTTCATGTGTATAAATACGACTTCAGTTTTATTCAAGCCCATAGTTCGTCGCATTGGGACTGAGCTATAAACACTTGCAAGGATGAAGGTCTTTGGGCAGTATTGGTTCCTTCAGGGTAAGCTTGATGGTTTTTGCTTGTGGTAAATACAATAAGTTCTCTTTATGTGGATTAAATATCGTTAGTGAGGATGTGTTACAATATATCATATTAGTAAACATAGTGTCCTTGCATGGTAGCTGTACATATGAATAATATCCAATGTTTATATACATGTATAACTGTTGATACTGAGTGTTGTTTTTCAACATCTGACTTTTAGCACATGATGATTAAAAACAGTCTGACCAGGAAACACGTTCAACACGTGTCTGTAACGAAAGTATCGCTCGACATTAGTGTATGTTAATCGTTTACAATTCGCAACATCCTAAGGTTATAATGTTCTGTAACCCTTTGGAAATACCATAGAGACTCGATTTGACCACCTCGTGGAGATTCAGATTTGAAGTATCGCATGCCTCCGACTTGACACACCAGTGAACGTTACTTAAGAAATTCAGTTCGCTCTACAACCACGTATAGTGTAATAAAGCACACTTTCGCCCTGAACTATTATAACGTTAAAGCACTCGGACGCTTTAACGTTATAATAGTTCAGGGCGAAAGTGTGCTTGATTACACTATACATGGTTGTAGAGCGAACTGTATTTCTTTTCCAAGATGCCAAATGTAATACTTTCTAAGGATAATTACGATTAATCTAAGGCAGAAAACAAACGACGGTGTCAGTGACCTAAATTAAGAATCCCCGCACAGGGCTAACTGCCGCGCTGTTCTATTGACGTGCCTGCAACTGCAAACCAATGAAACGGGATGAAACGGAGTAGTTTATAGAAGGAGGCTGTACGAGGCGATGACAACTGACATGCATCGTGGCGTCGGTGACATTGTGACGTAATGCAAAAGTGTTCGATTACGAGGGGGCAGACTAGAATGGCGCAGTGACGCCAATACATTGTGACGTAATGCAAAAAATGCACATCGTCTGATAAAATACTGTCGGCACCTTTGATCTTTCACCGAACCATCTTAGAAATCTGTTTCAGGACTTGTTACTGCGTGTATGCTGGTCAAAATATCAGCTGCCTGTACAGCTGCTGCTGACTGCAATACACCTAAGGGGGTTTGCACTGATGGAAAGTGTGTCTGCAAATCAGACTTTGCTGGCCCTGCTTGTGCATCAGGTAAATACAGCGATATAATTCTTACTGTAAGCATGTTTACACTTGGCGTTAAGGCTGGTCTGGACTGTATTAACGTGTATCTATCACATTGTGACATATGGTACAGGTCAAAATAGTAATTGGAGCAGCTATAATGTTTGTCTTTGGCATTTGATAAATTGTGCCGACAAAAGATATAGATACCTCTGTCTGTACCAACAATTGCCCAGAGAATGGCATTTTCCCCATTGTTTGTAAATTGCATTTGGGCTATGCAAAGTTCAGAAATGTACATTCATTTAGTCGATTGTTCCTCTGCTCATAATTTTCCAATATATCTAGCATGCCTTGTTTGCAGACAACCCGTGCAAAAGTGAAACATGTAGCAACCACGGAACATGTGAGCCAAGTGAAGATGCCACCCCAGTATCTGTCTGCACATGTGATACCGGCTACACTGGAACTAAGTGTGAAACAGGTAACTTGCAGGCCATAGTGAAAATGAAGTAAAGCAGACAGCTTCATAAAATATCCTATCTGACACCTTGCATGGACAAATTTGGCTTCCTTATATCTGATATACCTACCCTGAGACCTGAGGTCGCATTCTGATTGGTTTCTTAGACCTAGTGTCCATGCAGTTAGCAAAAAGCCCCAATGGTCCCTACCATGGGGATCTACCTTCAGTTGTTGGCAATCTATAAGCTGTTTTATAATGTCTTTGAAAAGTTTAAATGTGTTAAATTTGATTTCTAGCCTTAAACATTATATCGGTAATAATATAGTTGTTTTACTGTCCTTCATTGACAGGGTTTTATAATTTACCTTAATTATTATACATGTAATTCTATAACTTCATTTAGTCACTATATGGCTGAAAAAATGATTTGATCAGGGTTTGATCCACAATCTTCCTAACGTTCTCAAAAATTCTTAGTGTAGAAAAAGTGAGGAAGATTCTAGTAATGGTTTAGTACCAAAATGGTGTCCGATGCAAGTTCCATGTTCTAATTGTGAACAATTGACTTGCACTTGCGTGTGTTTGTGACTGTCGTAATCGATTGTGTAGGATACTCAAACATTTTTGCGAACACCAGGTATGATCGTTATTTAATAGTGGCACGTAATTAGAGCCGGAATCGTACAATGTTTCTTTCTGCAATAATAGAGACTGGTTGTCCTCTTCCTTTGGTGTACTATAATTATGGACTACTTTCGTAGATTAAATATATGTTATCCAACCCGAATAGAATACGTCGAAGTTTAAACGTCATAATGTTTATAGATATTAAAGAGTTTTAATGAAAAATTGTTGACGAGTTACGTGTAACAAGCTTGAATACCCCTCACCACTGATATCCGTGATTCAAGCACTGAAAAAGAGCTTCCGGTTACATGTTCTAATCAATGTTTATGTGTATACTGTTGTCTGGCTGTACCTTTAACACTTAAATAGCGGAGAGTGAGATCACTCATAAGAAAGGTTATTATTATATACACATCAGTCTTTTGTTTCAACCGAATTGACAATATTAATAATCGATAAACATTTCCAAAAATATAAAGTAACAACTGAGAAAAGGTACATGTAAAAACACCAGTAGTTAGAATTGAATGTGTTCTAAATCGCTGAAGGATTTGTCAAACATTCGCTAGAGAGTTTAACGTTGAGACAAAGAAACTGTGTCTAATTCCATAGGAAAGGTGTGTGAATTATGTACAGTGGAAACCGCCTAAGTAAAGACCGCTTAACTAAACAGACCTGATAAGTAAACACTTTTCTTTGGTCCCGGCAAATTTCTTCATTAATTATCACTATTAGAGTCCTGTTAACTAAACTTGGATAAGTAAACAATACCGCTTAACTAAACGTATTCTCACAGTCCCTGGAAGTAAATTACTTAACAAAAGATACTGGATAACTAAATTAGCGATCACCACATAATCCGACATGAGGGGCACGTGTCAGTCTCCAGTTAAACAAACATCCTACTTACAGCTCGCTTTCGTCAAGCAGTTGACAATACACTGACAATTGGAGGCCAGCCCTGATAAGTTGTTCATTGATACATATGCATACATATATACATGCATATGGTTGTCATTTGCAGATTTTTATAGGTTTGGATAAGTAAAACACCTGATAAGTAAACAATTTTGGCTAGTCCCTTGGAATTTTACTTATCAGGTTTCCACTGAGTATAACAATTTAACGATATGTACGCAAAACTGTTAATTATGAGTATTTATCAAACTTTTAGCATATTTTAAACAGCATTTTCTCAGGTACGACAAGGCGCTACTGCATCATCAAACCACCAAGATTGCGTTTGTATTCGTTGTGACGTATAATGGTGTGTTTGCCTTCACTCCAATCACTTCTGCTGCTATAGGAATTTTTTACCTATCTCTCAGTTGCAATACCAAGGATGCTAAAACAATTTATTTTTGTTGATTCCATTCTCCCCCAAATCAAATCTGTAATAATAAACTTTCGAGTTTGTGTCCTCGTACACAATTTCTGCCACAAATGTGTGACGATACCAGGATCATATTAAGTTAAAATCTTGTAAAATTGCATTTCCAACACTTCTTGTTTATTATTTCAACCATGCACACTCGTAATATTTGCACATTGTATTATATGAAAGCTCTGTATGCACGTTGTTTTCTAAGTATTCTCAGTATTAATGGAGACGAGTGCATTGTTAAAGAGAGATACCGTTTTGTCCCCTGTGTAAATGTTCTATTATACAAGTTTTCATTACATCAAAGTACATTTGTGTCGACGTATTCTCTACAACAGAGACAAATGAATGTAAAACCTCCCATGCTCCCTGTGATGAACACGCTGACTGTACAAATACACCTGGATCCTACAACTGCACATGCAAGCCTGGCTATGCTGGAGATGGAAAGACTAGCACAGGTTAAAATAGACGAGACTAACACGTGGTTACTCCGATTTGATATCAACATCTACTTATTGTTTTTGATAATCATAAAAATATTTAGGTGCAGTTAGTCTGATTCATATAGGTATACAAGACGAAGAATTTATTTCGGTATATAGGTCATTGGCCCGTGTGCAATAAATGCAAAGTGGTATATGATATATAGACAATATGGTTTAAACATATACATATGTATATATATATATGTCTCTTCTAACATTTTATAGAATTCCTTTTAGATAGTGCATGTTTAATAAATAATGAAATTTTATAAGTAAATTCTTATCTTTGCATGTTAACAACTTATGATATTTGCTTAAAACAGATGGATAATTAAATTCTGGTAGGTATTAGCTTCTTAAATTTGCATATGCATCACAAACAAGTACAAAAAGTAATCCAGCTTCAAAATTATAGCGGTTACACACTTTACATATTTTGCGTAACCCACTGTCATCTTTACATCTTACGTTACATAGGAGAGGCAATTGTTGAATACGTAATAAGCATAAATAGCGGCGATATTCCTTTAGATGTACATTAGAAATATAGTATTCAACATCCAGTAATGACTTTAATGATTTGTAATAAGATAAATCTGCTGATTCATTTATTTTGCTAAACATATTTTGCTTTGCAGAATCTACAAGTCTTTGTTTAAACATAACTACAAAATCATTTACACTACCAACTTCTTGGCTTACCCACACAAAACCAAAACAAACTGTCATAATTGCATGTGATGTGTGACATTAGTTGTAGGATTAGTAGCATCTGCAGTATTATTTGTGACAGCGGAGATATTAACTGCAGCAGGAGTAATTGTAATAGTGGTAGTAATAGCAGAAGAATCACTTGAGTAGTAATAGCAGCAGCAGTAACATCGTAATGGTAGTAGCAGTAGTAATGATAGAAGCAGCAGTGGCAGTGTAAGTAGTAGTAGCAGAAGTAATACCAGCTAGCAGTGGTAGTAATAGCAGCAAATGTAGTAATAGCGGCAGCAATGGCAATGGTAGCAGCAGCAATAATGGTTGCAACAGTGGTAACGGCGGCGACGGAGGTAGAGGTAGTGGAAAAGCTATAGAATAACAAATGTCTCGTGGTATCTCTTAATGAGATATGGAAAGGAATTATCATAATATGTTCGATAAATATGATGTCATATTGTCCGTTTTTGTTCATCCATAAACATAGCGAACGTCGTGTTACAAGTATATATTTTCACTGTTTCGAATTTCGAATTTAATTTTCAGTCCAACAATTATGTTTCTTCATTTTCCAGAGGGAGTGTGTTCTAAGGATGGGAAAGAATGCCTCAGTGGAGGAAAATGCGAAACAAGCAAGACTCCCACCACGTGTACTTGTGCAAGCGGTTACAAAGGAGCCATCTGTCAAAATGGTGAGGAAACATTTGTGAAGAGCATTAAATCTATTAAATCTTCAAACAACGTCAAAGTTATTTGATCTGAGTTTGATCCACAACCTTCCTAACGTTCTCAAAAATTCTTAGTGTAGAAATATTGAGGAAGATTCTAGTAATGGTTTAGTACCAAAATCATGTCTGATGCAATTTCCATGTTCTAATTGTAAACAATTGACTTGCACTTGCGTGTGTTTGTGACTGCCGTAATCGATTGTGTAGGATACTCAAACGTTTTTGCGAACACCAGGTATGATCGTTATTTAATAGTGGCACGTGATTAGAGCCGGAATCGTACAATGTTTCTTTCTGCAGTAATAGAGACTGGTTGTCCTCTTCCTTTGGTGTACTATAATTATGGACTACTTTCGTAGATTAAATATATGTTATCCAACCCGAATAGAATACGTCGAAGTTTAAACGTCATAGTGTTTATAGATATTAAAGAGTCTTAATGAAAACTTGTTGACGAGTTACATGTAACAAGCTTGAATACCCCTCACCACTGATATCCGTGATTCAAGCACTGAAAAAGAGCTTCCGGTTACTTGTTCTAATCAATGTTTATGTGTATACTGTTGTCTGGCTGTACCTTTAACACTTAAATAGCGGGAGAGTGAGATCACTCATAAGAAAGGTTATTATCATATACACATCAGTCTTCTGTTTCAACCGAATTGACAATATTAATAATCGATAAACATTTCCAAAAATATAAAGTAACAACTGAGAAAAGGTACATGTAAAAACACCAGTAGTTAGAATTGAATGTGTTCTAAATCGCTGAAGGATTTGTCAAACATTCGCTAGAGAGTTTAACGTTGAGACAAAGAAACTGTGTCTAATTCCATAGGAAAGGTGTGAATTATGTATAACAATTTAACGATATGTACGCAAAACTGTTAATTATGAGTATTTATCAAACTTTTAGCATATTTTAAACAGCATTTTCTCAGGTACGAAAAGGCACTAATGCATCATCAAACCACCAAGATGGCCTTTGTATTCGTTGTGACGTATAATGGTGTGTTTGCCTTCACTCCAATCACTTCTGCTGCTATAGGACTTTTTTACCTATCTCTCAGTTGCAATACCAAGGATGCTTAAACAATTTATTTTTGTTGATTCCATTCTCCCCCAAATCAAATCTGTAATAATAAACTTTCGGATCTTACCTGGATCCTACAACTGCACATGCAAGCCTGGCTATGCTGGAGATGGAAAGACTAGCACAGGTTAAAATAGACGAGACTAACACGTGGTCACTCCGATTTGATATCAACATCTACTTATTGTTTTTGATAATCATAAAAATATTTAGGTGCAGTTAGTCTGATTAATATTGGTATAACTGCATGTGATGTGTGACATTAGTTGTAGGATTAGTAGCATCTGCAGTATTATTTGTGACAGCGGAGATATTAACTGCAGCAGTAGTAATTGTAATAGTGGTAGTAATAGCAGAAGAATCACTTGAGTAGTAATAGCAGCAGCAGTAACATCGTAATGGTAGTAGCAGTAGTAATGATCAGCAGTGGCAGTGTAAGTAGTAGTAGCAGAAGTAATACCAGCTAGCAGTGGTAGTAATAGCAGCAAATGTAGTAATAGCGGCAGCAATGGCAATGGTAGCAGCAGCAATAATGGTTGCAACAGTGGTAACGGCGGCGGCGGAGGTAGAGGTAGTGGAAAAGCTATAGAATAACAAATGTCTCGTGGTATCTCTTAATGAGATATGGAAAGGAATGACCAATATATGTCCGATAAATATGATGTCATATTGTCCGTTTTTGTTCATCCATAAACATAGCGAACCTCGTGTTACAAGTATATATTTTCACTGTTTCGAATTTCGAATTTAATTTTCAGTCCAACAATTATGTTTCCTCATTTTCCAGAGGGAGTGTGTTCTAAGGATGGGAAGGAATGCCTCAATGGAGGAAAATGCGAAACAAGCAAGACTCCCACCACGTGTACTTGTACAAGCGGTTACAAAGGAGCCACCTGTCAAAATGGTGAGGAAACATTTGTGAAGAGCATTAAATCTATTAAATCTTCAAACAACGTCAAAGTTATTTGATCAGGGTTTGATCCACAACCTTCCTAACGTTCTCAAAAATTCTTAGTGTAGAAATATTGAGGAAGATTCTAGTAATGGTTTAGTACCAAAATCATGTCTGATGCAATTTCCATGTTCTAATTGTAAACAATTGACTTGCAATATCCATGTTCTAATTGTGAACAATTGACTTGCACTTGCGTGTGTTTGTGACTGCCGTAATCGATTGTGTAGGATACTCAAACGTTTCTGCGAACACCAGGTATGATCGTTATTTAATAGTGGCACGTGATTAGAGCCGGAATCGTACAATGTTTCTTTCTGCAATAATAGAGACTGGTTGTCCTCTTCCTTTGGTGTACGATAATCATGGACTACTTTCGTAGATTAAATATATGTTATCCAACCCGAATAGAATACGTCGAAGTTTAAACGTCATAGTGTTTATAGATATTAAAGAGTTTTAATGAAGCTTGTTGACGAGTTACATGTAACAAGCACTGAAAAAGAGCTTCCGGTTACATGTTCTAATCAATGTTCATGTGTATACTGTTGTCTGGCTGTACCTTTAACACTTAAATAGCGGAGAGTGAGATCACTCATAAGAAAGGTTATTATTATATACACATCAGTCTTTTGTTTCAACCGAATTGACAATATTAATAATCGATAAACATTTCCAAAAATATAAAGTAACAACTGAGAAAAGGTACATGTAAAAGCACCAGTAGTTGTTGCGTTATGCTCTTCGTTCACTTGAACGTAATGTCATTTGTTTGGTTATGTAAAGAAAGCAATTTCATTTTTTAAATTCTAGAAATATACATATACCTGTTTATAGCTGGATTTATGTATTTTAAAAGTGTGATAAGGCCCTTGAGTTATGTAAAGGAAAACGTTCTACGATCATTTGAACTTGTTATTATGGAACTGGGGAAGGTGAAAGTGAAGAAGTTGTTACCGATAGTTGATACAGATCTATTTCACCTATATAAACATCTGTTTCACACAAAAAACATAATCTGTTCACTTCTCTGTTTCAGCTGGAGGTACGGCGACAATTTCAGCATACCTGCTCCCACTGACTGTTGTCACGTTCTTTGTCATCCAGTACACGACCATTCCACGCTGACCACCATACCCTGCTTGAAACTGCGTTCTTGTTTGACATGGAGAATTCTGCTATGTTTACAGCAAATCAAATTATACTAAATTGTAAATCTTTAAAATGATTTGAGTTCAAAGATATTTACCATACAAGTAATTTGTTTTGTTTTTTGGTTGTTTGTGTATACCATTGTTGACTTAATCCCATTTGTTCGAATCAAAATCTGTATTTGTTTGCAGTGTTGCCTTTGTGTGTGCTATTATGGATAACGCCATACCATTTGATTCTTGTAATAATGTAACGTTTGGTAAATGGTCAAATCCTCCTTGTTAGCATAAGGTACATGCTGCGTTTATCATTGATTGATTAGTTGTGTTTAAGAGACTAAAGGTTACAGTGCTATCAGTCAGTATGCTATACAGGAGCTTTTGCGTGGATTTTGTTTCTGATGACATTTAAGAACTATCCCAATTAACAATTTGAAAGATCCATTAACATTTCTCGAAACATATCTCGGGCCTGTCAGCCAGTGATTCTGGTCATAGTCTGCCTCATGACAATGTTATTACCTCACTGTAGATAAGAAGACTAAATTCTCCCCTGTTTACCTTTAGGCCATTGATAACATGTTACTGATGACGTGGACCTGTCCCCCAGTGACCACTGACACAGAGTAAATGTCATCTACTTCTTATCTATAGTGACACTCACAATCACATGAAAGTCTGCGGATGTATAGTAATGTGTGTTAGCAAAATTGGTAAGTCTTCCGAATAAATATTACCTGCACGTATCTCACTGTCGTTGAGTTCATATATGGGCGGTTGTAATAGGGCCGTTGCCTGTTAGAAGTACGTTTAACATCCACGAACGCGTAGCACAAGAAAAAGCTAGGGACGATGGTACAAATGTGTGCATGTTATTCAACCACACAGATATCACACCAGTAATGGGCTTCACACATCGTAGCCATGTGGGGAATCGAACCCGGGTCTTCGGGATGACGAACGAGCGCTTTAACCACTAGACTACCCCACCGCCCGTTTCGTTGAAAGATGGCACATGGGAACACAAAGTGAGTCCGCTTTACCCGTTATAAGTTTGTCCGTTATATCCATGAATTGTACATGATAAAATATCCGGCACACGACCGACACAGAACAAAGTTCGGTATATCTGTCAGTTCGTTATAAACGTGTTCGTCATAAACGTAGTTTACTGTATTCCTGCTTTTGGATACCTTTGAATGTTATTTTACATACAAACATAATCTGAGGCTGTCCACCCGGTAAAGCCGCATTTGAAAAAATCATTTTGCCGGCAAAGCCACATTTCATTTTGGAGGGGAATTGCCGGCAAAGCCACATTTTCAATATGCAAACCAAGTAGAGAGTTACCGACTAGTTAAAAAACGCCCCTGATATATAAGTCGGTTTAAGAACATCTCAAATGATGTTTCACCAAGGACATGTGGAACCACTTTGGGAATGATGGTCATCCGACTAGTAACAACCTTGAGGGTGGCATCACAAGGTCAACCAGTTAGCCCGAGAGTGCCACCCCAACATTTTTTGAGATTGTCAAACTGTTCAAACGCGAACAATCACTTATGGAAGTTGAAGTCATAAGACTGTCGACCCACTGGACAGCCTCTTCAAGACGCAAGAAATATAGAAATATTGTCAGCCTAAGGTCACTGAAGACACAGTTAGCAAATCAGCATTTGATTGATGTAGAGTATGCAGACCACAAGCATACACATAGTATGGCCTGGTATAGTTCATTCTAAATGGAGCGGGTCGGCGGAGTGGTCACAGGCCCTCGTGTTTTTGCAAGGATTAATGATTAAAAATATATTGTTTTTGAGATGACCCCCGACTCGAAATTCTTCACAGTACAATACATCATATACTGTGAAGCAGTTCGAGTCGGGGGTCTTCTCAAATTTTCGGTATATATTTTATAAAATCTTTAATCCTCGCAAAGCGCGAGGGCCTGTGACCATGTCGCCGACCCGCTCCATTTAGAATGAACTATACCAGGCCATACTGTGTGTATGCTTGTGATGATTGAGAATTAATTATGAGAATTGATGCTGGTGTGAATTCAATAGGAGTTGTGTGAGTGTTACTATACTATATTTGTTATGATTGTGAAACCTCCAGTGAATAAAACTGAAAATAAATGATCTCTATCTTTGCTGTTCTATGTTAAATACGGTACCATTACGGGGCTTACAATGTTGTGATAGCATTGCCGCCAAAGCCACATTCCCCCGTTGTTCATCCGTATCCTTTGCCGGGAACGCCACACGAAGTTCAGCCTGTTTTTTTTCTCAGATGTGGCTTTGCTGGGCTGTCTGTGCAGCCTATAGAAGTACGCATTTCCCCCCGCAGCCAATAAGCCGGTATCCTTTCATAACCTGTGTACGATTAACGCCGAAGCTGTTTCCATTACAATGCGGTAATATCAGGACTTATAGAAGTGCAAGAAAGATCGCATTTCTCAAATCAGATAATATCATGTGCACTTCACAGCCCACCCACACGTAATACATGCTCGTCAGTATGACAAGAATAAGCTCCCCATATGCTGCAGATCTCATACCTGGGAACAACATGTGTAATCTGGAATGTTGTATCCCAAAGCGAGCTGAATTCGACGTTCTGGTGTTTTCGATGATTGCGTTGCTGGCGCTATATCGGGGGAGTACGTGCGCGATCTGTGAGCACAAGTTGTTTCATCGCCAGGGTGGATGCCCAGTCACTGTCGTGAGACGTTGTTTTCACAATTGAAAACCGGAAGTTAACTTATTTAAAAAGCAAACAAACATCAATATTATTTACCCGAGATCGTTGATACCACTTCAGATGCAAAATCAATTGCCTTTATAACAAAAAATAGCAAGCGAAAATTCAGTAAGATCATTCGTCTGCTGGTGACAGGCAATATTTAAATAGGAAGCCACGTTATCACAAGACTCCCTCGCAGTGCGGAGCGAAAAGTATGGCTCATTGTCGAAAACCCATACAAAATCCACGGATGTGGCGAACGGCAACAGTTTCGCCGATACGATGTCATCAACCTTATTTTTGTAGGAAACACTTGATATTTTTGTGTCAAATAGATGAATATATCCTTTATCACCCAAGGTTAGTAAAATTAAAACTTCAAATGATATTACACATAAAAATTACGTTTTTGTCTTACATCGACGAAAACCCCTGATGCCGAGATACTGACTACCATTATGAAAGCCGACATAGTGAATTTCGTGAATGTAATAAACAGTCATCAAGTGAAGTGAAATATACTTGATTCATTGAAATGTTTGTGTAAAACCATCTACGACCAATTTCTCATTCAGATTCATAAAAATCTCTTTGTAACTGATCATGTTGATGATTCGTTTGTATATATCTCAAGTACCTCATGATTGTCTTTATAACAGTGTTATTCACGAACTGACTTCACTCAGATTGATAAGTGTAAGACCTTTCCATCAAAGGAGTTACTGTATGGCCCGCCTCTGCTGCACTGAACTAATAGTAACAATAATACTTACAGTCAAGGTAACGTCTCCCCCGACACCTGCAGGTATCACACAACCATGTAGCGACATGTCTTGCTCAAACACTCAATACATGCAAGTCTATTTCTGTCAATCAATAACTCTAAGGGTCTTGTTTGTCACAATGTACACATAACCCAGTATCTAAATACTACAGTTCAACCCTTATCCTCCGCGTGCGCGTTACTGTTCAGGATTGCCACACAGCAATACAATGTTGTCAGTGCGTGTGAGTTCATTGCTACAGACACTTTAAACTTCACATGGAAGAAAGCACGCCAGGGGATATGCAATGATAACACAATGTAAACCAACCACACACGCGCGCACGCACGCACGCACACACACACACACACACAATAGGGTGTTTTTTGTGGATAGTACGATCCTCGTTTTAGGTTACTGTAGAGTAGGGTCCACGTGCAATGTTTCAGTTTTTTGGAGAACATGATCCACGTGCACTGTTTCAGGTTTTTGGAGAGTATGATCCACGTGTTATGTTTCAGGTTTTCGGAGAGTATGATACACGTACAATGTTTAAGGTGTCCAAAGAGTATAATCCACGTGCAAGAATTCAGGTGTTCGGAGAGTATGAGCCAGGTGCAATGTTTCAGGTGTTCGCCGAGTATGATCCACGTGCAATTTTCGGGTTTCGGAGAATATGAGCCACGTGCAATACTTCCGGTGTTTGGAGTGTGTGATGCACGTGTTATGTTTCGGGTTTTGGAGAGTATGATCCACGTGCATTGTTTCAGGTGTTCGGGGAGCATGATCCACGTGCAATGTTTCAGATGTTTGGAGCGTATGATCCACGTGCAATGTTTCAGGTGTTTGCAGAGTATGATCTACGTGCATTGTTTAAGGCGTTCGGAGAGTATGATCCTCTTGCAATGTTTCAGATGTTTGGAGCGTATGATACACGTGCAGTGTTTCGGGTTTCGGAGATTATGATTCAAATGCAGTGTTTCGGGTTTCGGAGAGTATGAGCACGCACACACATACACACTAAGGTGTTTTTTTGGATAGTACGATCCTCGTTTTAGGTTACTGTAAAGTAGGGTCCACGTGCAATGTTTCAGTTTTTTGGAGAACATGATCCACGTGCAATGTTTCAGGCTTTTGGAGAGTATGATCCACGTGTTATGTTTCGGGTGTTTGTAGAGTATGATACACGTACAATGTTTAAGGTGTCCAAAGAGTATGATCCACGTGCAAGAATTCAGGTGTTCGGAGAGTATGAGCCACGTGCAATGTTGCTGGTGTTCGTCGAGAATGAGCCACGTGCAATTTTCGGGTTTTCGGATAATATGAGCCACGTGCAATATTTCCGGTGTTTGGAGTGTGTGATGCACGTGTTATATTTCGGGTCTCGGAGAGTATGATCCACGTGCAGTGTTTCGGGCGTTTGGAGAGTCTGAACCAAGTGCAATGTTTCAGGTTTTCGGAGAGTATGATCCACGTGCATTGTTTCAGGTGTTCGGGGAGCATGATCCACTTGCGATGTTTCAGGTGTTTGTAGAGTATGATCCACGTGCATTGTTTAAGGCGTTTGGAGAGTATCATCCACGTGCGATGTTTCAGATGTTTGGAGTGTATGATCCACGTGCAGTGTTTCGGGTTTCGGAGATTATGATCCACGTGCAGTGTTTCGGGTTTCGGAGAGTATGAGCCACGTGCAGTCTTTCGGAGAGTAGGAGCCACGTGCAGTGTTTCGGGTTTTTGGAGATTGAGATCCACGTGCCATATTTCGTGTTTCGGAGAGCAAGGGTCACGTGCAATGTTTCAGGTGTTCGACGAGTATGATCCACGTGCAATTTTCGGGTTTTCGGAGAATATGATCCGCGTGCAATGTTTTGGGTGTTTAGACAGTATGGTATTCCAGAACCGGTCAGGTGAGCTACAACAAGGCACAAAACATATGGGCGAATCCGCATTATCAGTGGTTCGAGTTGCTAAGGGAGCTAACCCAAGATACATACTAGAGGTATGCTGATTAGTTTCGTATCCAGAAACGCATGACGCTTAGAAAACGATAAACTGCCTCCTCCATTAGTCAAATAATCACTAAAATTATATAATCTAGCGAGTCATTTCCATCTATATGAATAGCAGCATGTTCCTGTACGATTGCTAGACGTGTTTGTCAATATTACTGATTGTGGATCACTTTATAGCTGGTTGTTAGAGGGTGTCGGATGGGACCCACATTCTAGTCGAATATT